TGCCAAACAGACCTGCCCTGGTCGTATGAGTTCAGTCTGCTAGCAATGAATTCTTGCAGGACTTTTTGTGCTGCGTCTTCACCGCCCAACAAAGCACTGCCAGTTTTGCATGCATCAGCAGCCTTTGAAAGCTCCATATCGATGTTCATACATTGTAAAGTATCGCAGAGAGGCCTGAAAAAGAACACTATTTTAAACAATTTTTTGTGTCCTTCACCGATACCACTACCGGCTACTGCTTCATTGCAATACAGTTTTGTAGAAACAGCGCAACTAATGATCTTCTCCAAAACTGCCATAATCGAAACAGCTCCAACTTGTTGGCGACAGAAAAACCAAAAAAAAAATAAACTGCACTCTCTCTGCCATGTACGCCTGTACAATTTCATGAAAAGAAAAACGAAATCGAACCTGCCCGTTTCACAGTGGATGTTCGGTGTGTCGTCCCATTTTTCCAGACGCAACTTCTCGAGGAGATGCCAAGCAACTTTTCGGATTGTAGTAGCATTGAACGCAGGTTTCGCGCACAATACCTCAAAACGATATACAAATTTCCTAGTTGACAGAAGCCAGCTTCATTTATATTACTAAAACAGCCCAGATAAATGATAGGAAAAACGGCATTGCACAGTTCTTCCCAAACACACACGCGATTAGGCAAGGATACTTATATATCCTTACCCAATCAAACTTTACTTTTTCCACTGTCACAAAGATATCCCGAACACCATTTTGATTAAGTTGAAATCGAGGATTGGAGGAAGACAGGAATGACTGTGAAGATGACACTGGGAAGGAATGTGTACAAAAAAAAAGAAATGATTGACAAGAAAGAATTTGAGAATTACCGTAACGGGAACGCAAACATTTCCTTCAACTCTTGTAAGCCTTCTTCGTTTCACGATCAACTTTTCGTTGAGGTTTTCTTCGAAAGTACGATCTTGGCGCAAATAAGCCGCATCTGTGACCACTTCGCAGGCCTGTTCGCTCAACTTCAAAGCGATGTCCACTGCTTTCTGCTCGTCAACTGCTTTAATCGCCAACAAAGGAGCGCCCAGTGTAACCAATGCATTTCGCAAGCATATTAATCCTTCCAGCAGAAATTTTCGCTGCGCCAAATTGTACTGATCTGTAAAATTACTCCCCAGCATCAAATTTCTCCTCCCCCAGGATTATCCCGTAATAGCGTAATATACCAAATATTGATAATGGTTTTTTGTTAAAAATAGATTAAAGACCAACTGCGTTACTATGACGCAGTATTCCTCTCCCTGGTTCAAACTTTAATCGCCCTTCCCTCACTGAACTTTCGATCTTTGTCCCTTGGGGTATAAAAGCACTCCTCCTCATTGCCAGGACCACCTTTATCGATCACCTCGACCAGC